TGAAGAGTCAGATGAGCTGCTACGGGTGCGCCTGCGGCAGGCGCAGATGAAGAAAAGGGTCGGCAATGTGACCACTCTACACCAACAGAGCCCGTCAATGCAGATAAAGTTCGACTGGACAGACCTGCAGCGTGTTCAACTGCCTCATGACGACCCGTTGGTAGTCAGTTTGACAGTGGCAGATTGCTTGGTGCGCAGAGTTCTGATCGATCCTGGGAGCAGTGCGAATGTTATGCCGAGGGACACATTTGACAGGCTCGACATTAAACCAGAGAGGCTCAAGCCCACCGGAAATCCCTTATTAGGGTTCGATGGGAAGAGGGTGGAACCCGTCGGGATGGTGGAAGTAGAAGTTCAAGCTGCAGAGCGAGCTCTTATGGAAACTTTTGTGGTTGTGGAAATTCACCCCTCGTATAATCTCCTGATGGGAAGAGGATGGATTCACAGAGTCCGAGGTGTACCCTCAACTCTGCATCAGGTCATGAGGTGCCTCGGGCCCGATGGAGATAAAGTGATAGACATTCGGGGGGATCAGGTCGCAGCCAAAGAGTGTTATTCCGTCACACTAAAGCATGCAGGGAAAGGAAAGGCGCCCGTCCGGTCGACAAGCCCCAGATAGCAATTACAGGAACCTCCACTCGAGCAGAATAGGGTGGAGGAGTCAGCCGACTTGACCGAGGAGCCCCTTCTGGATGTGCAGGTCGATCAGTCCAGGCCAGAACGAACTACCAGAGTGGGTATAAGACTGACCAGAGAAGAGCAGCAAGAGGTAGTGGATTTCTTGTCCCACAATGTCGACGTATTTGCATGGAGTCACCTCGACATGCCTGGAATTAGTCCTTCCGTCTTCTGTCATTCCCTGAATGTCAATCCTAATTTCAAACCAGTGAAACAGAAGCAGCGAAGATTTGCTCCAGAACGTAATCAGATCATAACGGAAGAAGTTGATAGGCTGCTTGATGCGGGATTTATCAGAGAGGTGCACTACCCTGAGTGGTTGTCCAACGTCGTTGTGGTGCAGAAGAAAAATGGGAAATGGCGCGTATGCATTGATTTCACCAATCTAAACAAAGCCTGTCCGAAGGACAGTTTCCCGTTGCCTAAGATTGATCAAATGGTGGATGCCACCACGGGGTATGAGCGTTTAACCTTTCTGGACGCATATTCAGGTTATAATCAGATTCCTATGGACCCCGCAGATGAAGAAAAAACTTCTTTTGTCACCGAGCGAGGAACATACTGCTACAAAGTTATGCCTTTTGGATTAAAGAATGCGGGAGCAACTTATCAACGACTTGTCAGCAAAGTTTTTAAGAATCAAATGGGTAAGATTGTCGAAGCCTATATTGATGATATGGTGGTAAAGAGTAGGAAAAAGGATGATCATCTGAAGCATCTGCAAGAGGTATTTGATGTACTAAAGCGATATGGGATGAGGCTCAATCCGACCAAGTGCTCGTTCGGTGTAAGTTCCGGGCAGTTTCTGGGACACGTGGTCAACCGCAGGGGCATCGAAGTTAGCCCCGCTCAAGCAGAGGCTTTGATTAAGAATGCCGAGCCAAAGACGATCAGAGAGGTGCAAGCCCTAACAGGACGAATAGCTGCATTAAGTCGATTTATTTCAAAGTTGTCAGACCACTGCAAACCATTCTTTGACACGATTCGGAGCCATGGAAGGCAGGTCTGGGGGGATGAGCAACGACAGGCATTGACTCATTTGAAGCAATATATGCAGAATCCACCAGTCCTGTCAGCCCCAGAACCGGAAGAAAAGTTATTTCTATATCTTGGAGTATCTGGTGTCGCGACGAGTGCCGTTCTGATTCGTTGCAAGGAAGGGGTGCAATACCCGGTATTTTATGTAAGCAAAACACTGATGGAGGCAGAAAAAAGATACTCAAAGGCCGAACGGGTGGTACTTGCACTTGTAAATGCAAAAAGAAAGTTAAGGCATTATTTTGAATCCCACCCCATAGCTGTTCTAACAACTTTCCCAATCAGAACGCTCATGCACAAGCCAGAGCTCTCGGGCAGAATGACAAAGTGGGCCATAGAGTTGAGTTCATTTGACATAACGTACGAGCCGAGAACAGCTATTAAAGGGCAAGCGGTGGCCGATTTCCTACTAGAATGTGATACCGAAGATACGGAAGAGGACCTTAGAAGCGGCTCTTGGAAACTTTTTGTGGATGGCTCCTCTAACCAGATGGGGGCTGGGATTGGGATCAAACTGCAAACCCCAGAGGGTACTTCCTTGAGCCAAGCACTCAGACTTGAGTTCCGAGCCACCAATAATGAAGCGGAATACGAGGCGTTGCTAAATGGATTAAAGTTGGCCAGAGAGCTACAGATCAAAAGTTTGACAGTGTATAGTGACTCGCAGCTGATTGTTCGGCAGGTAAATGGTGAGTACGCAACCAAGGATGACATGATGGGGGCATATCGTTCTGCCGTTCTGCGTAGAGCCAAGGACTTTGCAAAGATTGAATTCATACAGTTGCCGAGGGAACAGAATGCAGATGCAGACCGTTTAGCATGCAGTGCTTCGAGTTGCGGTGAAACATTGGCGAGGGTGATTCCAGTGGGAATAGTGACCCAGCCGTCCATTTTCGAAGAACCGATGGTCTCGGACCCTTGGCAAGTCAACGTCATACCGTATGAACCGAGTTGGATTGACCCAATCATTACCTATATTCGAGATGGCGTTTTGCCTATGCAAAGGGATGAAGCTAGGAAACTCAAAAAGAATGCTGCCAAGTACGCCATCGTGCGGAACCAGCTGTACAGAAGGTCCTATTCTGGCCCGTACTTGAAATGTGTCACCCCCGCGGAGTCGCAGCAGGTATTGCGAGCTATTCATGAGGGTGTGTGTGGCAATCATTCTGGGGGAAGATCGTTAGCGCATAAAGCAATGACACAAGGGTATTTCTGGCCAAACATGTCAAGAGATGCGGAGGAGTTCTCTCGAAGGTGCGATAAGTGCCAACGATATGGACCAATGATCCACCAACCACCTGAAGAATTGCACGTAATGGCCTCGCTGTGGCCTTTCGCGCAATGGGGGATGGATGTGGTCGGTCCTCTGCCAACTGCAAGAGCTCAGAACAAGTATGTGTTACTGGCCACGGATTATTTCACTAAATGGGTGGAGGCAGAACCGTATCCTAGCGTGACTCAGACTCAGGTGAGACGATTTATCTGGAACAACATTATCTGCCGCTTCGGTGTTCCCAGAACAATAGTCATGGACAATGGCACAAACCTCGACAGCAGGCAAGTAAGAAAGCTGCTGGAGGAGTATGGAATCAACCAGAAGTTGGCTGCAGTAAGTCATCCTCAGGCTAACGGACAAGCAGAAATCACAAACAGAACCATTTTCGCCTGCATTAAAAAGAAGCTGGAAGATCATAAGGGGAAGTGGTTGGATGAACTCCCGAACGTTCTATGGGCTTACAGAACCACCCCAAGGCGGCCGACTGGGGAGAGCCCGTTCGCGATGGCGTATGGTACCGAAGCAGTTATACCGGTTGAGCATTTAGTCCCCACTATCAGAAGCTTAGCATGGAGTCGAGATCAGAACGACAAGATGTTAAGATTGAACCTCGACATGATAGACGAAAGGAGGGACGCAGCGGCTATAAGGCTAGCATCGTATCAGCAAGTGCTGGCGAATAGTCACAATAAGAGAGTAAAACACAGGGATTTTGCCCCGGGCGATCTGGTTCTGAAAAGAAAGGTGGGGATGGTCAAAAAAATGATGCCACCCTGGGAAGGCCCATACAGAATTGCAGAAGTCATTGGCAAAGGGGCATATACGTTGGAAACCATGGCGGGAAAGTTGGTCAGCAAGCCCTGGAACGCCACGTCTCTGAAGAGGTACTACCAATAGAAGCTAAGTTCTGGCTTTAATTGGATGTTATTTGTTGTCAATCAAATACGTATGAATGAGCAAGTTACCGGAATTTACAAAAAAAAAAAGAATTTTCTTTTCCAATGGTCTACTATAAAAATTTAAAGACAAGTGGCAAGTGGCATTCTAGCCGAGCGCCAGGCACTTAAGCAAGATAAGTGGCAGCTGGCACTATAAGCCGAACGCCAGACACTTGCTAAAAATTTAAAGCCAAATGGCAAGTGGCATTCTAGCCGAGCGCCAGGCACTTAAGCAAGATAAGTGGCAGCTGGCACTATAAGCCGAACGCCAGACACTTGCTAAAAATTTAAAGCCAAGTGGCAAGTGGCATTCTAGCCGAGCGCCAGGCACTTAAGCAAGATAAGTGGCAGCTGGCACTATAAGCCGAACGCCAGACACTTGCTAAAAATTTAAAGCCAAGTGGCAAGTGGCATTCTAGCCGAGCGCCAGGCACTTAAGCAAGATAAGTGGCAGCTGGCACTATAAGCCGAACGCCAGACACTTGCTAAAAATTTAAAGCCAAATGGCAAGTGGCATTCTAGCCGAGCGCCAGGCACTTAAGCAAGATAAGTGGCAGCTGGCACTATAAGCCGAACGCCAGACACTTGCTAAAAATTTAAAGCCAAGTGGCAAGTGGCATTCTAGCCGAGCGCCAGGCACTTAAGCAAGATAAGTGGCAGCTGGCACTATAAGCCGAACGCCAGACACTTGCTAAAAATTTAAAGCCAAGTGGCAAGTGGCATTCTAGCCGAGCGCCAGGCACTTAAGCAAGATAAGTGGCAGCTGGCACTATAAGCCGAACGCCAGACACTTGCTAAAAATTTAAAGCCAAGTGGCAAGTGGCATTCTAGCCGAGCGCCAGGCACTTAAGCAAGATAAGTGGCAGCTGGCACTATAAGCCGAACGCCAGACACTTGCTAAAAATTTAAAGCCAAGTGGCAAGTGGCATTCTAGCCGAGCGCCAGGCACTTAAGCAAGATAAGTGGCAGCTGGCACTATAAGCCGAACGCCAGACACTTGCTAAAAATTTAAAGCCAAGCGGCAAGTGGCATTCTAGCCGAGCGCCAGGCACTTGCCGTACAAACACACAGCGAAGCTAATATAAAAAGAAAAAGAGAGAAAAGATATATATGTACTGAAGATAAGTTGAACAGAGCACAACACATAGAGAAAAAGAGTTCGGCCATTTCATTAATATTGAATATTTAGTTTACAAAAGAGAGATGTCCATCATTACAAGAAGATATGAACTGGAAGAATTCGAAGGAGCCCTAGCTAGACGCCTCAGTACCAACAGCATCCTGGTCTTGCCGACTCGCCTCCTCGGCCCCATCAGCCGCCTCACCTTCATGAGGTGGGGAATCCAGGTGAATAACTGAGTCGTTCGGCTGGGGTTCAGCGTCAGCAGTGGCTACAGAGGGAGCCACGGTTGACGATTGGGGAGCGGTTAGTGGCAGAGCGGTAGGAGGAGCTGTGATGATCCTTGAGGATGCGATGTCCTGGCACTCATCAAATATACGTTCCGCTTCGGTGGGTTCTGGGTCGACATAGACCCCCAGAGGCTCGATCCCCAGATCCTTGTCTACCTCATCCGGAGTGGAGCTGGTCTGTCCCTCATCCGGAACCCGGTCAGCGAAACCTTCCCGGAATCCTTGAGCATACCGAAGAGCACCGACCCTGGAGAACCGAGCGTGAAGGGCCAGCATCCCACCACCCACTCTGCTGATAGCGTCGATCAGAGCGGTACGCTCGTCCAGAGCTCTTTTTTCAAAAGCCATCCGAGCAGACTGTTCATCAGCTAGAAGACGTTGGAGTTCTGCCTTCTCTTCTCTGAGTGATTCCTGCTCAGTCTGCCAGACGCTCTTCTCAAGCTGGAGGGCGTCCTTCTCATCCTGAAGGGAATCATTCTCCTTTTTCAGGACATCTCTCTCTTGCTCGGCTTTGTCAAGCCGAACCAGCACCTCGGTATTCTTCATGGCAAGGAGGTCGTTTTCTTTATTAGCCACCTCCAGGCTGTCAGAATACTTTCGGGCCCTGGCGTTCCCCATTTCCACCTGCTTCTGCATGGCCATCATCCCGAACAATGTCTGCATAGGTGCACAATAAGAACGGTTAAACCAATAGTCAGAACGGGCGAAGGCAAGACCAAGTAATATAAGAGAATTCATGAGTTAGAAAATAAAAGTCACCTCCATAGCAGATTGGGGAAAGCGACTGAACACGTCCTTCTGGGAAAGGCCCTTTGCCGCCTCAATGTCCTTCGGAGTCCACATGCTCCTGTAGTAGGCCATAGCGGTCTGGCCATCCTTCAGCATGGTCTCGTTCGGTTTCACGAACGTCCCATCCGTTCGAGTGTACCGAGGGGCCCATGGCGGTAAGCTGGGGATAGAAGGGGGGCCTGAAGCAGAAGCAGAGCCACCAGCTGCAGGAGGCCCAGAGTGAGAAGGAGCTCTGATCGCTCGGTGCAAGAGAGTACCCGGCCCAGAGACTCGGGTCCTTCTAATAAGAGGCTCCTCCTCAGGGTCGATTTCACTGTCAAGATGAGGCCTTTTGCCTCGCTCTTTGTCCCGACCGCCCCCCGCAGCAGCAGGAGCTATGGTAGCTGGGGAGGGCGCGTTCTGGTTGGCAGTAGGGGCGCTGGCAACAGGGTTAGTAGCCACTGCGCTCGGGACAGTATCAGATATGGTGGCTGAAGAAGAAGCCGACGCTGGAGAGGAGGTCGCCCCAGCAGCAGGAATGGCTGGGGGAGTATTTTTCCTCCTGCCAAAAGAGGGAATCTGCAGTCTGCTCATATTGTAGCCGAGTGATGAGAGCGCAAAGAGGTTATCTGAAGTGAGGAGATCTGAGCAGGAAGGAATATCGTTCAGAACGTATCTCTTCAAGTAGTTACTCCTATCCCTGCAAACACTGTAGCTCAAGTCATCACAAGGTATTCCCAAGGAGCGGCATAAGTAAGTGCAAAAACGAGGAACGCATGTTTCACAGGGGCAGTCGTGTTTATGGGATTTGAATTTTTTATAGGAGGAGACAGAGCAGACACCAAAGGCGCTCGGGATTGGGTAATCCTCTGCAGCCGGCGAAGACCAAGCCCCACTAATACCCACTATGCTATCCCTCCAACCCTTTTCAGATTTTATTGTGTCAGTGCATATGGACATCTTCTCGAACGGGTAGAGGTGGTAGAAGGGCTCGTTAGTACGGATCTTACTGACCTTATAGCACAGAAGGAGGTCTATGAGGTCAAGGTCCAGATTTCTGTCACGCATCAATAAGAGCATAACAGATATGATCCTAAAGAAGTTGGGGTTGACCTGCAGAGGGGATATCCCCAATCTGTTGAAGACGTAACTAAAGAAAGGGTGCAGAGGGAACCTAACAACATTCAGTTGAAGGTTCGTGAATAAGACTTCGCCGGGCAGGAGGCCGGCGCCGGTCGTAATATTAACGTCTTGGGGGCAAACCCTAACTACGATGTTGTCAGGAAGTCTAAGTCTCATACGAAGAACACCCAGATCTACAACCATGGTGGAAGTGCAAGAAGAATCTAAAAGAGGGAAAATGGAAGCCTGCCGAAAGTAAAAAGAACGAAACTAACCTCGGAGGACTGCAAGATCGCTGGGAGAATGACTCTCGAAGGATTTCACCGGAAAAGGCTTAGCACAGTTCTAGAAAGAGGGAGATTTGGCTGATGATGGAGACGGTAAAGGGAAGTGAAGTGGAATTCTAGAGCATTATAAAGGCAAGGGGGCCCGAGGGCCGAAGCGTCGGGAAGGCAAGAAATCCCTCGAACCCCGGAACATTGATTCTGGATCTGACCGTTCGCTCCCCCACGTGGTTATCTCGAGCCGTCAGCGTCACGATGAGACGCCATCAATAATTACCCCTTATTAAATAAGGGGCAATTATGGGGGCAGTTGAGGAGGCCCTGGATGACATGGGCCAGGTCCGACTCGCAAAACACCACCTTCAGTCCGAACAGCTGGGTCAGCCCATAGAAAGACACTGCCATATGGGCCGAGCGGGAGTAAGCCCATCAAGGGTGACCAGGGCTTACAGAGGAATAGGCCCAGGTCCAGCAATTAGTAAATATCTTGTAAATATCTTGTAAATATCTTGTAAGTATCTATAAATAGGAGTTGGAATGAAGAGGAGAGGGATCTTTATTCGGGTTGAGGTGTAAGAATTCTAGAGAGAGAAAGAATAGAAGGAGTTTCTTGCATCTTCAGCAGCTGAAGATACTACTACCATGTTCCCCAATATTGTAGACCTCTGTAACCTCAAAGAAGAAGACCAGGCTTCCTAAGGGCAAAAGCACAGCCCTGTTGGAACAGTGTTTGGAGGTCCTTCATTGTGCTAATCCTCCTTAAATCTTCACTTCTTCTTAACTTTATTGAGGCAAGTCTAACACAGCTCTTGATTGTTCTGATGAGAATGTGTGGTGGGGAGGACTTGTTCCTAAAAGCCTTTGAGTTTCTTTCCTACCAAATGAAATAAATTGCAGCTGAAAGTAGCAACTTGTGTGTAGCGTAATCCCCATGTTTCCAAAACTTAGAGCACCAATCAATAAGGTCAGACTAGCAACTTGGCATTATATAGAACCCTGTTACATTTTGAATGAAGTCCCAAATGACAACTATATCTACATTTGAAAATTAGATGATCGAATGGCTCCCAATCAGTTAAACAAAAAAAGCAGGTATTTGTTTTATGCTTGTGTCTCATGGGTTTTGAGTCCAGTGTGTAGAGCCTATTCCTGATAGCCATCCAAACTATATGTCCATGCTTGGGGATATGATGCTTAAACCAGATAATGTGATGCCACGCAAATAAAATTGATGGTGGGGTGAAGTAATCCATGGTGAGTTTGTGAGAGTAGTCCAATGGATCAGGTCTGGTAATGATGATGGGTTGTTTGAACTATAGAGCTGTGAAATGAAGGATTGAGATTAGAAGAATGGATTTTCTTGAAGGGATGGTGGGATTGTCCACTGAAGGTTGGAAATTAGGCTATCAAATTTGACTTGATAGTCCAGTTGAAGAATTTCCATTTCAGTGCGATCAAGTTGAGATAATATAGGTCCATTTGGGAGCTAGTAATCAATCCATAAGCTTGTGTCTAGACCTGAACCAACCTTGTGCCTTATTCCCTTGCCATACCCCTAAGTTTGAGCAGTCTTCTCTAGAAACCAGAACTTAATGCTGAAGTTTTGACAGTCCAAATACTCCTATTCTTAATGAGGTATCTGTGAACCCAAGCAACCCATAAAGAAGCCTTTATAACATACAGCTTCCATAAGTGTTTGAGGCTTGAAATTCTGTTTGTCATCTCCAAGTAAGGAAATCCTAGTCCACCATTGGCTTTAGGTCTACAAATGGCTGTCCAAGCCACCTTTGCTCCCCCCTTTCTTAATTCTACTCTTGACCAGTAGAAACATCTAATAACTTGGTTGAATTGGTCAATGACTTTTTGTGGCAAAATGAATGCTTGTGTCCAACAGGCTTGAGAACAAATCATTGAACAGTTTAATCTCTTATCAAGTCAACACATCATCCAAATTTTTAGAGAATTTTATGAGACGTCTATGAACATAAATTTTTAGCTCCACAGAATTTTTTGATCAATTTCAAATCTCAAAACGTAGTCACAACAATAAATTCAACTTGCAAATTTTATAAAAACATTTAGAAATTCATCTAGCAAGTTCATGTGTGTGTGTGAAATCCAATCTCATCATTTTTAATCAAATTTTGTCAAATTTTAATTGTCTAAATCATATGTATCGAAAAACATCAATATAAGATTGTTTTGAGCAATTTTCCTAAATAAGGTGGCTTTCACTCTAAAGAATAGACAACAATTTCCCAATTCAACTTGTCTCCACCTTTCTTTTTACTCAAATAACTCCACTTCAAAGTCTAATGGGAGTTTTCGACTCAAACCAATAGGTAGCCTTTTCCTTAACAAAGAATTCAGCAAATTTTTCAAATTTTCTTTTCTTTTCATGCTGAATAATTTTTTTTTTCATACTCCTATATATATTTTTAAACAATAACTTTTATAACTTTTATGAACAATATAACCTACTCAACGATCCAATGATTTTCAATCAATTTTCTCAACGATGGACTAGTGCACAAAAATTATGAACTCAAGAGATTCAAATCTAAAAATCTTCTAGTCAATGTAAATTATTTTTCATTGTATAGATTACAATTCAAGAATTTATTTTTATCAAATCATCATGTGTCAATTTGAATTCAAAGACAGATCATAAATTCAACTGAAAGAATTTTTACATATATTATCATGAAAAATATGATCAATGTCTCAAAACCTTAACCAAACCCTAATCCTAAAAAGTGATTTAATGGCAACAAAAATTTTCATTTAAACATAATCCATGATCACTAATCACTCTAGGATGAAAGTTTTGCACCCAAAGTCTTTTTGGAAAAGGAATATTTGAATCCGGGTTGGGACAAGTAAATATATATATATATATATATATATATATATATATATATATATATATTCCATATTTTACTATTTTCTTACAAAAATAAATAATTAAGTATAAATAATATTTATCTAACATAAATTTATTTATTTATTATAAATTAATAAATTTAATATATATAAATTTATCCTTATAAATTTATTTGTAATAATATTTATAAGGATTTTTTTTGATAAATACATATTTAACCAAATGATGATAGAAATATTTCCTTTTCTTTCACCTCATTATTGTTCCCTTTCACTTTCCATAATTTTTTTTATCTAACCGAACTTAATTAGGATTTTGAGGACCGGTCTCAATCTTACTTAACATCCGAAAACCTAATTAGGGTAGTACACGGCTGGTTAGCGAAACAGTTTGCTAGGGCTTATAAGAAAAGAAAAGATTTTGTTTTTTTTTTTTTTCGAAAAGAAGAAAAGAAAAATTCCAGAAGAAGAAAATCGATCTCGATCATTCTCGGGTGGGGTGATGGCAACGTTTGGCAAACTTTTGCCGGTGGTTGAGAAAACCGTCTATATTCGCATGTGTGGACGGGGCACCTTTCTTCAGGAAAGATGAATCGTTACGAACTGAAATTATCAAGCAACTACCGCTCCTCCTCCTCCTATTGTCGGGTAAGGAAAAGAGGAGGAATAGGGAAGATCACGGCGGAAATCAAGCCGATCTTGGGGGCGGAGGCTCCATGGTCGAGCTGCTGTGTAGCTCTTGCTCTCGACTCCACTATTTACTGTATTGGCGGTGGTGGTGAAAGCTATAGAGATAAATCGCCAGAGGTGATTGCCATGGCCGCGGACGCTGTCGGTGGTGGTGGTGAAAGCTATAAAGATAAATCGCCAGAGGTGATTGCCATGGCCGCGGACGCTGTCGGTGGCGGGTGGTGGAGGCAAGTTACTCCGATGAAAGCTAAAAGGCGGGTAGCTCATGCAGTGACTGTTGATGATCTTTGGCGGCGTTTATGACGACTACGGTAACGAAGGTAATTATGAAGATTCAGAGATTGAGGTTTTTGACCCGATCAAAAAAATATGGGAAACTGTTTAACA